AAGGGCTAGTCTCAGGCTAGGGCCATGGCCTAGACCAGTAGTTATCAACTTTCCTAATGCTGCAACTTTTTAATATAGTTCCGCAAGTTGTGGTGACCTCCCCAACCATAAAATTATTTTCACTACTTCTTCATAACTGTAATTTTGCTACTGTTATGAATTGTAATGTAAATATCTGATATGCAGGTTATCTGATATGTGAACCCTGTGAAAGGGTCATTCAACCCCCAAAGGGGTCACAACCCATTGGTTGAGAACCACTGGCCTAGAAAGAGTTAGGGTTTCAGTTCCTGGGAATCTGGTTTTCCCCACTGAAGGGTGTGGTTATCAGTCCTAAGGCAGTTGTGTCTGAAGTATCCTGTGTTCTCCTGGTCAACACTGTTTGATTTAGCTTTCTGCTGACTTTGGTCCACTTCTCCCCTACAAACAGCATATGAGATAATATACTTTTGCCAGGCGGTGGTGGCAGCAGGCCTTTAATCCCAGCACTTGGGAGGCAGAGGTAGGCAGATCTTTGTGAGTTCGAGGCCAGCCTGGTCTACAGAGCGAGATCCAGGAAAAGTGCAAAGCTACACAGAGAAACCCTGTCTCAAAAAACCAAAAAGAGCCGGGCGGTGGTGGCGCACGCCTTTAATCCCAGCACTCGGGAGGCAGAGCCAGGCGGATCTCTGTGAGTTCGAGGCCAGCCTGGGCTACCAAGTGAGTCCCAGGAAAGGCGCAAAGCTGCACAGAGAAACCCTGTCTCGAAAAACAAAAACAAACAAACAAAAAAAAAAAAAACCAAAAAGATACTATACTTTTAATAAAATTGCATAAGCCACCAGTTTATGCAAGACCTCCTGGACCCAGCTTTCTGTCTTCTTTATCTTCTCATCCCTGGTCCTCCCCATCAACACCTGCCCATTAGGGACCCTTATTCCCATGGGTTCAGGTCACAAGCCAGTACACAGCATTCCTCCAAGACCTCTGCATCAGTCCCTGACTCCTTCCTATCCTGACTTCTTCCCTTGACTTCCCCAATGATGGACTACAAAGTGTAAGAGGAAACAAACATTCCCCTACCACCAAAAATAAATAATAATGCACAACAGAAGATGGTGCTCCCTTCCTCCCTCTTCCTTCTCTTGCTTGCTTCCTTTCCTCCCTGAGCAGAGTCCTCGTTCCTGCTCGGGACACCAGAACTACAATCTTTGGACTCTTGAGACTTAACATCAGTCACTCCCCGGGTTCTCTCGACCTTGAGTCTTAGACTGAAGTATCAGCTTCCCTGATTGTGAGAATTTCAGATCTGGACTGAGCCCACTTAACAGCGTCCCATCTCCAGGCTATAGCCAGCCTGTATGGAACAGCTCATCCTTCATAAGCCAATAAGTCAATTCCTCAAAGAAACCCCCTCTCACATGTTTATGTCTACACCTATGCCCTATTGACTTTCCTCCACTGCAGAACCCAATACAGAGGAAAATATATAAAGAGTAATTCATAATTCCAACTTAAGAACAAAAACATCAATTACCAGTGAAATAGTTAATATATTATAACTAGCTCTCATCACTAGCCAAATCAGTGTCTTAAACTGATAAATGGTAATGGTAAAAACAATGAAAACATAACAATCCTTAAATGAATAAAACAGGCAAGTCAGAAACATTACTTACAGTTAAAGATGTCCATAGCTTTTGTTTGCCTGTTTTTTGTTTTTGTGGTACTGAGTACTGAAACTTTATGGTACTGAGGACTGAAACCAGGGCCTCAGTGTGCTAGGAAAGCATGCTAGGCAAGTATTCTTCTGGGCTATGTTCCTATCCCCAAACATTTCATTTACCATAAAGACTGATAAGCAAAGGAAACTAACAAATGGCCAGTAATGATGGCCTCTTAATGCTCAATAGATGATAAAATTTATTTACATAAAGTTCTAGTCAATGCTTAGGCTGACCAGATAATGAAACGTATGTGAAAAGAAATTCTATTACAACGAAGAATGTAGTATTCAATAGGATAAAATGTATACCGGATATCTTTTTATTAATCCAAGGGCAAACTAAGTTATAAAGAAATTTCTGTGGTTTAGAAAAGTTCTTAGTGATAAAAATATGCAATTAGCACAAAAACACACAATGAAAGGAATTTTATGGCTTCTATTTTGCTAACACAGTTACAGTTAATGGAAATTGTCATGACAAAATGATTGTTTTTATGAAAAGAACCTTCATTACTAGCCCATCAAATTTCATTTTTATTACTGATGTAAAAAAGTTCAAAACCATGATTCATTTATAGACTATACAAAAATAAGAAAAGAGTTCAAGAATAGAGGGTCATTTACAAAGCAATAAAAAATTAAAGCATTCATTTTTCTTACTGGCAAGGCGAATACTTCTCCTCTACATGTAAATGAGTTTAGCTAAATTTACTGAATATTATAATTTCTGTCTTTAAAAAAAATGAAAAGTCTGAATTTTCAACATCTTATCTATTTGATTATCTTCATTCTATCTAATAACTACTTCTCAAGATATTTTTTAAATGTTTGAAAAATGTTAAGAGATCTGATGATGTTTTCTTTTAATTTCCACTCAAATATGGAAAGCTTAAGCTAATATTAATAACTCAAAAGCCTTCACAGAGAAAATACTGACATATTTTACAGGGTACCCATCACCAAAATCTTTTAAGCTAACTCATTAAAAATCATGGAGCTGTGGGTATTGCTGAGTGGCAGAGTATTTGTCTAACATACTCAAGGCACTGCGTTCCATCCCACATACATCTCAAAGAGAGGAGATGTTATTTAAGAGTATCAAATTGTAAGAACTTACTAGAAAATTAAAATTCACATTATAGCTCAATTGTGGACTATTTCAGTAAACATGTCTTTCAAAGAATCTTAGCAACATATTAAAGTTTTTTTTCAAAGGGAGCAAAGCATTGCCTTTAACAATCTGGTTTGCAATAAATTCATGAATACAGTAAAACCAAATAATAAGTCATCCTCCTGTCAATCAACTATACATTGCCTCTCATCTAAAGTATAACCTTATCTGTCTATTGGTGTCACCACCTGCCCCTTCAAATATCAACTTCACATCACCAACATAAGTTCCATAATATAATACTATCCATATGACTGATAATGAAAAAAAAAGATTATCTGAAATGCGACGGCCAGTTCAATAATTTCTCAGTAATTCTTTAGTGCCTTTCTCAATACTAGGAAATCCTCAGAACACCACATTAAAAACAACTAAGAAAATATTTTATCTTCAAGAGCAAAAGAATTGAATGTATTGTCCTCTGCACATTTTTTTAAATTAGTGCATTTCTTCAATTATCTGTTGTAGTTTTCATCATTAAATACTTTGAGAATCAATGTGGCCTTGTAAACAGTAGCACTACTGCCCCTTCACACCAAAAACAAACAAGCAAACCAACAAAGAACCCACCCTACTTTTTTGGTGGTGCAGAACATCAAATACAGGGCCCTGAATATGAAAATGTTCTTTCCATTTTAAGAAATTTATCCCCCCCCCAAAAAAAAAACCCACAAACACAAATGCAAGCACCATAGCAAAGAGAAAAATCATATATACCTTCAATGGCTTTGGCACACATCAACGTGACCAAACTGACTTGCCGAATCCCGTCTACTCTCCAGCTAATATGAATGGCCAGACTATTGCACACTAAGTGGTAGAAATACAAAACAAGACAACAGCCATCATGAGGCCCACAAAACACCTTCACCTGGTTATTCTAATACTAATGGAGGTGCTGATGTGAAGGAATTCAACTGATACAATGAAAATTCATAATCATATCATTTTTAAAAAAGAGATTATAATGGGTAGTCTGGCTTAAAAACTTAAAAGCCGCCGGGCGGTGGTGGCGCACGCCTTTAATCCCAGCACTCGGGAGGCAGAGCCAGGTGGATCTCTGTGAGTTCGAGGCCAGCCTGGGCTACCAAGTGAGTCTCAGGAAAGGCGCAAAGCTACACAGAGAAACCCTGTCTCGAAAAACCAAAAAAAAAAAAAAAAAAAAAAACTTAAAAGCCCTTTAAAAGAGGGACTAAGTCTTGCCTGAGATACACATTCCAAACAGCACTGGTCCCAAAATGCTTTCTCTTCTTCCTAGATCCCCTGGTTCCTGACTATCTGCTTTTCACATTTTCAGTTTGCTTGGTCAGACACACAACAGGAGCATGAGCTGGTTTGAGTATTCCTGTGTAGACATACAGCTCCTACTGCCACCATATTTCATGTATACTGATTGATATAATAACGTAAAGGCCCCAGCATTCATGAGGCAGAGGCAGATGCAGCTCTACGAGACTGAGGCCAGCCTGGTCTACATAGTAAGATCCAGGCCAACCTGGCAAGGCTACATAGTGAGACCCTGTCTCACAAAAACAAAACTAAACTAAACTAAAAACCCATCAGAATATGATTTCACAATGGCCAAGTAGTGGTGGCACATGCCTTTAATCCTAGAACTTGGGAGACAGAGGCAGGCAGAGCTCTGTGAGTTCAGTGCCAGCCTGGTCTACAAAGAGTGTTGCAGGATAGCCAGAGCTACACAGAGAAACCCTGTATTGAAAAACAAAAATCAAAAAACAAAAAAAAAGTGATCTTACAAGTAAATTATGGTTTCTTTACTATAATGAAATACTACATAGCTATTCAAATATGACAGTATATAATTTCATCATAGACATGAGAGGAGATCCATTCTATATGACAAAAGAAATGTACCCTCTATATTATCTATGTCTGTATTTTAATTTAGGGAAAATAAATGATAGATTTGCTCACCAAAGGTCTGAATATGAGATAGGATTTTAAAGTCTTAATTCTGGCAGTAGGTTGTCAGGTGATTTTCACTTTATTCCTTATAGTTCTCTGGATTACTTTCATTCTCTATAATGACCATGTATCGTTACTATTATTATTATATTTTTAAAAATCTCATTTGACAAGGAAAAAAATGTCAGAGGCACTTACACATTCAAATGATGTTCAGTCTTGAGAAGAAACAGGAGTTGTTTAAGTGGACACTTCAAGCAGACAACAGCATATGCTAAAGATGGACATTACAAACAGTTTAGAAAGGCTGAGGTTGAGGGAAGAGAGCGACAAGAGATGAAGCTAGAGAGACAGGCTTGGACTTAGGTGTAGAGAGGTTTTGAAGCCACTTAGCCCTACTGGCACTGGGAAAACCAAGGAAGGTATTGAAACAAGAGAAGTTGCACTAATATTTTAAGAAAATAAAACTTAAAAAGACAACAATCCCACTGAGACTTGTAATATACAGATTATTTTAGAAGGAGTCAAGAGATATTGGAAGCCCAAAAAATAGCTAATTCAAGGACTAATACAATAAGCTAAATAAGAATTAACAAAACCTTGAAAAAAAGTTAAGAGTTGTGGAGACAGAGAAAGCCACACTGAGGAATAAGAATGGAAACTGAGCAAGAGAGATACACTTCTAGGAAAAGACAAAAGTGATCAGTTAAACTGCACAAGTGAAAGAACGCTTCTCCAGCAGTAAGCTTTCCATTACTCTAACAAAATACATGAAATAATCAGCTTATAAAAAAGAAAGGTTTATTTTGCCTCAGTTTAGGAGGTTTTGATTCACTGTACAGTGGACTCACTGCTTTGGACCTGTGGGGAAGCAGGTACATCACAACAAAGCTGTTCACTTCAAGGTGAGGACACACAGCAAAAGTGACCAAGGTCTCACAATCCTCACCTCTTAGTTTCTACCAGTTCCTAATGCCACAGAGAGGATCAAAACTTTAGAAAACGTGAGTCTTCGGGGAACACTCCAGATCCACACTACAGCAGCCTACAAAAACATGTCCTTTACAAATCAGTCTCTCAGGGAAGGCACTACAGAAATGTCACAGACAGATACCAGAGGCCTTCAATGTTTCTAAAAGAAATACCAAGTGCTAGCTCATGCTCACTGGAAGTATAACCAAACTATCATTTATATTAATCTCAATTACAAAAAAATTGATAATTATTTATTGTTATAACAGGACTTTGTAAATATATCTCTACCCTACAGGCTACCCTCTTCCAAGAATGCTAAATTAACCAGAAACAGAACACTGTGGATAGTTGTTGGTCTGAGTTACACTTATAAATCACTTAGAGGTCAAGGTCAAAGTCAGATTATTTTCTTTTCAGTTCTCGACTAAGTATAATCTTTTAACTTAAAAATTTATAATCACTTAAATTACAGAAGTCAAGTCGGCTCACTAAGGTAATTCAAACAATTCGCAAACACAGTCCTCCACCCTCTAGCAACACTTTATACTTACTTAAAATTCCTACGGAGAACTTGTGAACCCTTCTAAAAAGTTTTTCTTTGCTTATGTAAGCATATACGTGTCTATACAGAATATATATCATGCTGTAACTTTTTACTTAATATATTAATTCTAGCCTGCAAGCTAATATACATAGCATTTCTTCAGTTTTAGTATCTGTAAACATACAAGTATATCCACTGCTTTTTATAAATTTTCTTTCTTCCTTTTTCCTCTACTAAAGACAGGACCTCTCTACACAGTCCAGATTAGCCTGGAACTGGCAATCCTCCTGCCTCTGCTTTCCAATTGCTACTATTCCAGTGTTTATCACCATGTCAGAAATAAATTTGCCTTCTGAAACGACAAATGTGATGCTTTTAACATCGGTACATACTGTGTAAAGATCAAATCAAGCTACTTAACATGTCCATCATCAACTTACCAACTTTCTTGTGATAGCATTAGAAATCTATTCTTCTGGCTATTTTGAAACACACACTTGTGCTGGTTGGTTTCTGTCAAGTTTTCACAAACTCAGACATATTGTGAAAGAGGGCAACTCAACTGAAAAAAATTCTTTCATCAGACTGGCCTGTGGACAAGGCTGTGAGGAATTTCCTTTATTAATGACTGATGCCGGAGGGCCCAGTTCACTGTGGGTGTGCCACTCCTGGGCAGGTGGTGCTGGGTTGGCTGTATACAGAAACAGGCTGAGAAAGCTACTGGAAGCAGTGGTCTTCCTCCAGGTCTCCACTCGAGCTCCTGCCCTGCCTTCCCTTCCTGAGGGACTGTCAACCATCAACTGAAATACCCCTTCCTTCCCAAGCTCTTTTGTCATGGCCTCTACCACCGCGTTAGAAACCTAAGGAAGACAATGTTCCTATCAACTGTGGGCACCATGGAGGAACACAAACCACGAGTCTAAATGAAACGTTGTGCCCTCTGATCAACAGCGCTCCTTTCCACCTCTCTTCTCCCTTACCACCACCCACTGCCCCAGCCTCTGGCAATCACCTGTCCACTCTCTGCTTCTGTAAGATGAACTCTGGTCAGATTCGACACGAAAGTCAGATCTGCTCCTAGCTGGTGTCACTTAATCTAAGGTCCCCTAGTTCTATCCATGGCATCATGAATGAAAGAACTGCCTTCTTGTTAAGGCTGTATAGTACTCCTTTGGATCCATTCATCCGCTGACAGACACCTAGTTTGCTTCCAAGGCTTGGCTATTATGAATCGTGTTAATAATGGAGTAAAGACAGCTCTCTGACAACTCACTGATTTTAGGTACTGAAATGAAACTTAGATTGGTATATCAAAATCTGACAAACATCTGGAACATTCTTATTTCTTGCTATCAGAAATAATGCTATACTAAAGATTACTGTATAGTTCTTGTAAGAATTGATCCTCAAATTTCTATCAGATAAATCCACATACAGATTTCTGGGTTAAAGTATAACATTTTAGTAAACATTACTGTGCTTGACTCCTAAAGGGAGCCCAGCTTACAGACCCACTAAGTAATGTTTCTCTATTCTCTATGCCCCTGCCAATACTAGAGAGTGTCATATTCACTTTGCCTACCTAAGTAGAAAATTTACCAGTTATTCATGGAGTACAGCTTTTCCCCTGTCCACTGTCTACTTGTACTTCTCCTTTTATGAAATACCATTTAGATTCTTTGCCTTTCTTTTGGAAGGTTTTCTTTTTTAATTGGTTTTCTTATTAATATGTACAAATTTATTATGGTGCGGTTTTTCCCTGTTGTTAATGTTTGTTTTGTTTGAAACATGTTCCTAATAAAGCCCAGGCTAGCTAGTCTCAAGCCTGCTATCCTCCTGTCTCAGCCTCCCATGTGTTCGTGATTACAGACAAAAGTCACCACACACAGCTATTCACCGTGTCTTTTATCATCAAAAGCTTTCAATATTTTTATACAACCAACTCTGCCAATATTTTCCATTATGGAGTATATATTCTGTGTTTTGCCTAGGAACCTCTTCTGCTATCCAACATTATTAAAATAATATCCTGCATTTGTCCTTGATATTTCTTTCTAATTATTTTATTATAAATTAGTTTGTGTTACATTTAAATCTTTAATATATCTAAAATTTATTCATGCAATATTTTGACTTAGGAGCTGTTTCAATACTATTTATTGAATTATCTATCTTTAAATGCTTCCTCCTACTATAATAGATTACTACAAAGAGCTAAGGCAAGGTACAGAAATAACCATCACTCGAAATCTCAGTATTACTCACTTACTCAAGTCATGGGTATTTATGGAGAACCAACTGACAGGTACTAGGATACAACGGAGAACAAAACAAGCATCCCTGCTTTCATGAAGCTTACAATTTCTCTAGTTTTTCCCTTCTCACATAGAATATTTTAAAGGAAAAAGGAAATCTATGTCCACGCAAATTCAATACAGTTGGCAAAGTTGTAACACATTATGCTTTTCATTTCCCTGCTTTATCTCAAATGTCCCTGTTTATTCTAGTGACTATCTCCTTATCGTACTCATATGGAAAACACTGCAGGAGTTAACGTTCATTCCATTAACCTAAACCCTTCACTTGCTCTACCACTGTCACTTTCACCAAAATAAAAAAAAAAAAAATCTCAATAAGAAAAAAACATATATATTATAAATCTATTTACAAGTCCAATTCGACCATCAGGTCAAAGGTGTTTACTTTCTTTAAACTTCATGCAAACTGAGGACAGAGCCAAGAACCCTACGGATTGTGCACATGGCTTGGAGAAGAACTCCGGTCAACAACAGGTAAAGAAGGGAAGCTCGTTGGTGACGGTCACCTTGAACCTGGGAGCCCACCGCCGCAGAGACCGCCCCACACCCCCAGAGGCCCGGGGAGGGGGCGGGCCGATGGCCCTGTGACCACGCCCCCACCTCGCGCCCAACCCCGGGCCTCCCCCACACCCCCAAACCGCCGAGCGGCGGAACAAAGCGCCGCGGGAGGGGGGCGGGCAGGACTCGGTGCCTGCAGGGTGACCTTGGCCTTAAGCCCTCAGTTTCCTCAGGCGGAAAGTGAGGCCAGGCCTGCATGGCCGCCGCCGCCGCCGCCACCCGGGCTGCGGGCTCAGGACCCTCGTCCCACGGTTACCGGGAAACTCGGGCCCTTTCCCCCCCACGCGGCTCTCCCCGCCGCTGCCCCGCGAAGCCCCCGCCCCGTCCGCGCCCACGAGGACTACCTGCGATCTGGGAGACGAACGCTTCCGCCACCAGAGACATGGCGGCTGCGAGGCCCTGGACGCGCGCCTGCGCCCCGCGGCCCTCGGCGCCCTGCCGCGCGACCCCGGCGGCACCCCTGCAGCTAACGAGCCTGGCTGGGCCAACGCTCAGACACGCAGACGACACCTCAGCAGCCGAGGCCGGGCCGCAAGGTTACCGCCAGGCCGGCCGGGGACTTCCGGCGTCGCTGACAGCGCGCGCCGGCACTTCCGGCTGCTCCGCCCCGCGCGCGCGAGCCCTTGAAGCTCTGGCTCGCTCTGTGTGATGTCTCCAGGTGCCTAGATACACACGCGTGTATCGGTGCTTTTGAGTTTTATTGCATCCTTTTAGCAACCTACCAAGATGGAAACAAGCTTACTGCTGAGGCCCAGGAACTCAGGATTCCCTCAGTTCCACCACCTGCAGGATTTGAGGTCCACGGACAGATATTAAGTGTCAATTCTTTATTCAAATGCTCTAGCCAGAAGGAGGTTTGAACAGCTCGTGAGCTGAAACATAGTTTGTCTTTCAACTCCATGCACCCAAAATGAAGCTTGGAGAATCAAAACATTTCAATTTCTGGTTTCTGAGTGTAAAGGGACTCAGTGAAGGAGGGGCACAAGATTCCCTGAGTCTCTCCTCTTAGCCTAATCTTTTTTTTTTAATTATAGGTTGCAATTGGAGAAAAATCAGAAATATTATCGAATTAGAAACATGAAGTTACACTTGTAATAGACTTCAGAGATCATTTGGTGAGCCAAAGCCTCCTTTCGATGCTGAGAAAACGTCTCAGAGAGGCAAGAAGACTGGGGGTGGGGGGTTAGTTTTCTCCTACTATGTAGATTCTAGGAATCCAACTCAAGTCATCAGACTTCTCCCTTCTACCATGTGGGTTCCAGGGAGCCAACTCAAGTCATCAGGCTTGGTGGGCTAGCCCAGGCATACACATACATCAGCTTGTGCAGGCCAGTGGTCAATGACTAAGTTCCTCTTGAGTCACTCCACATCATTTTTTTTTTTATCTAGGGTCTTCTCACTGAGAATCAGGAACTCGAGGATTAAGCTGACCAACAGTATGCCGAAAAGTCAGGACTGAGCAGGTAGCTCACTGGTAAAGCTCTTCCCTAGCTTGAGACCCTACTTCCCATCTTCAGTCCCACCACACACACCCACAAAAAACATCATATAGCTTATGAAGTTTGTACATAGAAAAGCTGCTGTTCTAAGGATTACTGTCCATGACATCAGGAAAGGTATGTCTCCTTTCTTTATGTCCGTAGATCTCTGACCCTCCGTTACAATTTATTGTTCATATTTCTGCTTCCTTAACTGATACTTAAATAGTATATTGCTTTCTTAAAAGTGCCATACAGATTACCACACAAGGGGTGGTTCAAACGACAGATGTAGTCATTGTCTAGTTCTGGAAGCTTGAAGTCTGAAGTGAGAGTGTTGGCAAGACTCTCCTTTTTCTCAAGGGCGTAGAGAGAAGCATCCTTCCTGACTCTTCATCACTTCTAGGATTGCCAGTGCTCCTTGGCATTCCATGACCTTGGACACATCACTTCAACCTCTGCTTCCATCATCACACGGCAGAGCCCCTGTGTGTCTCTTGGTTCAAAACTACCTCTTCTGATGAAGGCACCAGTCGTTAGATGGAGGCTCATTCTATTAAAGACTGACCTCTTGTTAATTCCATCTACAAAGAGCTGACTTCCAGATAAGGTCACATCTGTAGATGCCCGAGGCTAGGATGTAGATGTCTTCTCAGAGGATGTAAAATGGTAGAAAGTTTTGAAGACTAAACCATAGCAATATTTGTAGCCCCCACAGCAAATAAGAAGTTTGTGAAAACAAATTTTAACTTACCCATTAATTTAAATAGACACAATGTACTTCAAAAAGCACCTTTTCTCTGGCTGAAATGAGGAAGGTTAATGAGAAGCTCAAAGAAATACAAGGAAGATAGTAGGTTGTTCTTGTTTGTGTTGAAGGAAGAAACACTAATAGTGGAGTATGTGGTACCCAATTCCCTCCCCATCCTTTTGTTGTTATTGACCCAGAGAAATGAGCTGTTTCGGTATCTTCTCACCAATCAAGTTTTCCATGCTTGTCCTCTGCACAGGGAATAGTATGTGTAACCTTGAAAAGTGAAAGTCTATTACCAGTTCAAGTTGTGCTGGCCTCTTCTGTTTGTTGCCTTTCTAAAGCTACAGATACTAGGTTTTGACTATTTTGGACGGATTTAGTGTTCTATTTCATAACCTGAGCCAAAGTCCTTAGATGACAGTCCTGGCAACTGGACTATGAAACCAGTAAGCAAATATAAGGGGTAGAGGTGAACCCCAAAATGGAAAAGAATGCTAGAGCCAAAGACTGGGAATATATGTAGGAACAACAGCACCTGAGTGAGGCAAATAGGATGTCTGTGCATAATTTTAGTCAGGCAGCCATAGCTTGCTAGACACAATAAACTAGGATGCATCAAAAGCGCTGGGTTAGGACACACCTACCTTTGCTACTATAACAAGTGTCTTAGCCTACCATAGTTGCTAGAAGAAAATACTTTAGACAGGTTAGTTTATCTTTTTTTCTGGTTGTTTGTTTGTTTGTTTTGGTGGGGGGGGTTGTTTGGTTGATTGGTTTTGTTTTGTTTTGTTTTGTTTTGTTTTGATACAGGGTCTCTCTACATAGCTCTGGCTGTCCTGGAACTGTGTAGACCAGCCTGACCTCAAACTCACACCTGTGCCTGCCTCTGCTGGGATTAAAGGTGTGTGCCACCACACCCAACTAGACAGGGTAATTTATTTGTTTGGTTTTCTTTTTTTTTTTTTTTTTTTTTTTTTTTGGTTTTTCGAGACAGGGTTTCTCTGTGTAGCTTTGTGCCTATCCTAGAACTCACTTTGGAGACCAGGCTGGCCTCGAACTCACAGAGATCCGCCTGCCTCTGCCTCCTGAGTGCTGGGATTAAAGGCATGCACCACCACCGCCTAGCAACAGGGTAATTTATAAGCAGCAGACTTATTGTTCATTTTGGAAAGCTCTGAAATCCAAAATCAAGGCTTCGGTAGAGCCAATGCCTCCCAAGAGGAACAGCTCCTCATAGATGGTAACTTCTCATGCCTTCAGATGGTGGAAGGGAAAGGGGGACTAATAAGTTCCCTCAAGCCTTTTCAATAAGGGTTTTAATTCCATACATGAGGGAAGAACCCTCCCAAAGGCCTCTCCCTCTTAAAGACTATCATATTGCTGATTGAGTTGCAACATTCGAATTTGAAGGGGTACCAGCATTCAGACCACAGCAGCTAGCCTTTTGAGGAAAAAAAAAATTCAAAAGGAGATCTGCTGGGGCACTGTCTCTATACACAACTCTTTTCATTGTGGCCAAGGAAGCTGAGTCCTCCACAGCATATGGATTTACTTTTTTCTCTCTGACTGACAGTTCTTTGCTTCCCACACAGGCAAATTTAGGCTGGAAAGAATGTATAATGTGGGAGGTCTTTATTACTAAAAATTAAATCCAATAAGATGCAGATGTCCTGACGGTGCCCACAAACAAGCTTTCTTTGTAATAAAGAGCCAACTGGAGAAAATATATTTATGCATCTGTATTAGAACAACTGGCAGATTTAAAACTGAAGATCTGTTTAAGATCACCACAATTAAGGGAAATACAAGAAAACAAGCCACTGGAATTTTTAAGAATGAGGTTATAAAACAAAAGTACTGCGGAATCCATATGTTACTAAAAGGATAGTCGCACAATTATTTAAAATAAATTATTAATGCATGACATTAACAGTCTCACTGTTTGCCCTAATAAAGTCACTTACTTGCCAAATTGTTGTGTCATAGGATATTTGCGGGTCTCTAACCTAGACTTCATGTTGTTACTGTATTACACAGTAAGAAAATGTTCAATTATTATTTTGAGTATATCTAAACGTTAAAATATTTGGGCATTTTATTTATATTTCATTTTTCTCTGACAGAATATTAATACTTTAATGCAAATGTTTTTGAAAGATGTCTGCAAGAGAAAACACTTATCCTCCACGATTCCTTCAAAAGGATACTATTGCTTTGATAATAAAATAGTAAATTCCAGACTTCTTGAGTTAGTCTCCTCCACAATCAACGGCTTTGGTGTGGCTAATTCATTCAACCCAAATAGTGTGTTGTTCAGTTAAGAGACAATAAACTGTAGGTAACACCGAGCTACTCCAAACAAGTTTTCTCTTTTCCTTTTCTTTCTTTTTTTAGTTGGGTGAGGGAGATCTTGCTGTATATCCCAGACTGTGCTCAAACTCATCTCCCAAGGGGCTAGAATTAAAAAATGTGTCATCATGCCTGGCATTTCAAAGATGCTTAAAGGTCCAGAAATGTAGTGACAGTTCACCCTTTTATCTCTTCATTCTTTTTCTCCCACTTTTTGGATACCTAAGGAATCGTACTTGACCAGGACAATAAAGTTTGTACCTTTTGTTCCCACTTTCTGAGTGTAACGCCTTCTGTTGTACACTAGAACTCCATTACATGAACCCCAAGTGTATTTGACTACTTTTTGAGAAATAGCTACATGATTGATTGCTGTGGACAAAGATTTTTTTCAAATATTAAGGGTTTTTCAAAAGAAATTAAAATGCTGTTTCTGATGTGTTCTAAATATCTTCTGGCTCACTTTCATAAGTTATTAAGGACTGAGTCTCTTTTTACTGATTACCATTCGCTGGTAGTTATGTCTTACCTACAGTCACAGGAATTATGTGAATTAGGATTTTCGTGGCTGCAAGTTATAAAGACACAATTAAACCTAAACTTAAGCAAGTTTATTGTCCCATTTCAATAGAAAAGATAAGGTAATTATTCACAAATTAATGAAGGCCTGTAGGAACTAGAAGTTTAGGCTCAGCAACCTGTCTCTCTCTGCGTCTTCATCTCTCTGTCTCTGTGTGTGTGTGTGTCTCTCTGTCTCTCTCCCCGCCCCTCATCTCTGTACCTCTGTTCAATTTTCTTCTTTTTATCTTAAAATGCACCTTCTCCAGTTAACTTGAGAAATAGCTGCTAGAAGCATCAATATGACATCCTCCCAACTTCGAAGTTACCCTAGAAGAACTTCAATTCATCCTCAATTGCTTGCTCTCACCCCCACTTGTAGTACTTTGTCCAAGTGAATGGATTGGACGGCTGAGCAGGCTTGAGGGTGGGGCGGCGAGGCCTGTTACAAGAAGGAAATGGAGAAAATATGCAGGCCGGCCAGAACAAAAGAAGCGCTGTGCACCCTAGGAGTGAGGGGAGTGCTCCACTGTGGCTGTCACTTGTTTTGGAACTTAGATGAGTCATTTAAGCTCTTTAATATTTTTCATTTCCATAAAGGGAGTTGTAAAATGTAATAATGCCTTAATTGCTGCCCCTAGCACAGGGGAGGGGAAGAGGAATTCAGATGATTGTGTTAACTAAAAGGAACAGAGCCAAGGATGTCTGCAATAGAATAAGAGGACTGGTCCTTAGATGTGTGTGTTACCCTCCCAGACCCGGCTAGAAAGGATAGACCCTTCCTAAATCTATAATTAGTATGTATACAGTCCAGATAATAGCATAGAAAGCAGTGTGAATGGTACAATAGTAAGGAAAAAAACAATAAAAATGTATTTTATTGTGAATATAATTGTGTGAAGACATAGTTATAAAAAGTACAATTCTCAAAAATTATAAACCTATTACAGAAGGGAGTGGGATTTTGGTGTTTTAACTCTTTGCTCTCTTTTAAATTTTCTGTAATATTTTTTGTGCCACTTAGAAAAAAAACTATTTTTTTTTTTTTTTTTTTTTTTTTTTTTTGGTTTTTCGAGACAGGGTTTCTCTGTGTAGCTTTGCGCCTTTCCTGGGACTCACTTGGTAGCCCAGGCTGGCCTCGAACTCACAGAGATCCGCCTGGCTCTGCCTCCCGAGTGCTGGGATTAAAGGCGTGCGCCACCACCGAAAAAAAACTATTTTAATCTGACATGGCAGCACACATTTGTAGTCTTAGCACTCAAGAGGCTTAGGCAGGAAAATCATGAGCTCAAGGCCACCCAGAGCTATATAGTAAGACCTAGTCTCAAAGACCAGCAAAAAATAACTGTTCTATCACACAGGCTAGAATTTCCTTGAAGATGACTGATTTGAGAAGTACTTGGACCATTCTGCTTCCAAGTCTCGCATGATACAGGTCTCATTAATAGCATTGCTGAGATCCTACCTTAGACCAACT